CTCTTTTTTTCTTTTGCATGATTTAAAATATGTGGTTTGTGATGATTTCATAGTTCATCGGACTGACGGTGATGAGCAAGATATCTTTCGCTCCTATCTGATACCACAAACATGTAAAATTATTTTTGCAGGGCTACATAAGTTGTAAAGAGAAGTTTTTTAAATGTCTCTTTCTTTTTTAGTTGATGTTCATGGACTGGAGATTGTGGCTGTTACAAAAAGTAGGTTATTATTGGAATCTGAACAAAACCCTTTCCTGTTAACACAATAATTATTATGGTCATTAAAGAGGCTAGTGATGCAATGTCAGAACTTACCAGTCAGATGACCACAGAATTTACTGAAATATCCAAACATTCACTCAAAAAAGGAAAGATAGAAAAGTCAAAAGGAGTCCTCTTAGGTCATCACTGGAAAAGATTACCCTGGATTGCATATTTCATAGCCCTCTTTAATTCCAGTACCATTAACTGTTATTTTTGGTCAAATGATAAACTCTTTTACTCCAAGACCAAGTTATGGCAGAATGATTTGTAACTCTAATTTAAAAATCTCAGGATGAATTCCTATGACTTTACCATTTAACTGAAACAGTGGCACATGTATTTATCTCTTAATAGCATACAACATACCTTTACCGCATTCCTGTAAACAAAGGCATCAAGTCAAGTCTGACTCGGGTGCACAAAATACAGTGATTTGTATGAAATTGTCCACCCGAGTCTCGGCCTCATTTTTATGTGTTTGCTCATTGGAAGAGAGTGCGGGAAATGTCTGTATTGTAGAAATTTGAATCGGGTCTTAATTTGTTTGGCCAAGTTTTGGAGTAAAAGAGGTTTTAATGAATGCTTTTTGAAGCTGTGTAAATGATGACCCCCAGAATAGGGACATAAGAAAGTCATTGTATGACTTGATTAGAAAACCTGGGTTACTGTCTGATGCACTTGATTCTCTTAAAAAGCTTCGCATTATTCTACCTGGCACATTGTTATCTTATCAGGAGTGCAGAGCAAAGTCTGAATTTGCATGATGATGTCTTCCTTCTCTTGTGTGTATATTTTCAGTGGTAGATGAATGCGTTGAGAGATCTACTCATGAGGAAAGGGTTTTGCAAGTGAAAGGTTAGTACCTGTTGGTTGAACTGGAAAAGTAATAAATCATTAAAGAAAAAAATTATTAAAACTGTTGTTTGGTGACCCAAAACTTATGTGTGTGGGATGTACTTGTGCATGTGTATATTAAGTTTAAAGGTATAGAACAGCAGTGAGCCTACATGTAGCTTCAAAGGTTAATAGTTAGCCTTGGGTGTTTGTATTACTGACATTAGTGTTCTGTCTGTTGTTATTTCCTATGGTTTGGCCAGTGATGTTTCATTATATTTGCTACTCTTGAGCATACTGTAATGATGATAACTATCACCTTATTGTCTGAGGCCAGACTTTATAAAACTGTAGAGACCACATGGTGACTGTTTTGGACAGTCTGCAGTGACTGGAAAAATCAAGGAAAATAAATGATAAAAAGTGGCTCCTTGTGTGCTAAAAGGGAACCATTCCTTTTTCATAGTTGCTGTGACCAAAGTTAGCATTAACCATGGGCAGGACGGGTCCGTTATAGTGAAGACAGCGATACTATTAGGCCCTGGTTGCACTAAGCAAAATTTTATTTTTTTTGCCAAAAAAATCTGTCAACAGGAAGCCATTTCTAGTATGAATTTTTTTTTTTCACCAAACAAGTTTTCTCAAATGTCACCAAAGTTCAAAGATGCTGTCAAAAAGATTTGGAGGCGGACAATTTTGGTCAGGTAACAAACGCCTTTGTTCCTTAACAGCTATTCTTTGTTGGGTCATCTTCCTTTAAATGACGTTTCTGGTTAGGCGAAAAATTTTGCGTCTAAGATGGAATAATGTAAAAAAATTAGTGAGTGCAAAATTTTCAAATTTTTGCGGATGCATAATTCAATTTTTGTCATAGTGCAAACAGGGTCTTATTTAGTACTGTACTCATTTGTAACAATAGTCTCCTGTTAACAAAAATCATAGGATAATAATCAACTTGCGAGGTTTTCATGAATTTGTGGTAGCCACGTGTCGTCTCTTAGAAGGCCTAGAACTACAACCTATGGACTGCACTGTTATTTTTTTTTTGCTAAACAATGGAATGCTCTTCCTGAGGAATTAAGGAACAGTACTTTTCCTGATTTTAAGCGACGTGTGATCATTTAAACGTTTGATCAGTTACACTAATTTTTATTTTAGGTACCAATCTCGGAGATCTTTTTTCCCTTGAAGATATTAGCTGTAAATTGTAGCTACTCTAAATTTGAGTTAAAATAAACGTTATATATGTATGTATGTATGAGGCTAGTTGCTATAAACCTGGGATCATGATTAAGTAAGGAATTTTGGGGGTAACCTATCCAGGATTGAAATTATTGCCTTCTTTGCAGGTTTCTGAGGAAAGCATGCAACGTGTGGTGCCTTGGTGTTAGTTTATAAAATGCTCTCCAGGTAATACGTTTTGGATGTTACATCATCATTATGAATTTAATTTGAAAGCCAGTGATGTGTTTTTTCAGTCATAATCCACTGATGAATTATGAAAGACAATTTTATTACTGAGGCTTTTATTTTTACCCTTGCTAATACCTGAAACAAGAAGCATCAATCTTATTTTCTGGTTAATTCATTCATTTTTTTTCCCTCAAAAAACTGTGGCATACAGAGGACCATACTCTTTTTTTTAATTATGCAAAAAAAAAAAAAAAAACTTTCTACCAAACGGGACATGGTTTCTCTGTTCTTTTGCAATGCACATGTATGTTAGACTCTTTGTTTACAATGTTGATTAAGGGACAGGTTATAAACGTTTCATTTTTATTTTTTGAAAAAACTTTGCAGTCTTTAAATAAACCACAACCATGAACTGAAAATGAAAGTATTGGGTTGTTTGAAGCCTTTCTCTTCTTTATAGCTGTCGCGTTTGCCCTGCTGAGATTTTTTATTGTTTTCAAACCTAAAACCAATAAAAAATATCCAGCGGGCAAATGCATCAGTTATACGCCTGATACACGTATGTTGCAAATGAATCCACCCAACGATTGGTTGAAGAGGGGATAAGCACGGGACTCGCAAACGCGCACACGTCTCTTAGATTCTCTGCTCTGTATCACTTTTTCGCTCAAAAACAATGCATTCTCCATTCTGCGTTACACTACCTTATGTTACATCGCTTCAAGATTCATTCTGCCGCCTCACAGCCTGGCGTCTTTGCGAGGCTGCTCGTTGGCAATAACCAGCTGACAAGTTGGCACTACTGTAACTAGCTTTCAAGTTGACACTAACAATAACTATTTTAAATTATTTGATGGTATATAATTGTGCATTGCTTGTGATATTTACATAAATGAAAGATAAACAGTTGACAGAGAAATCATGCACCAATGTTCTAAGGAAGCTTATAGTTAACCATAGTTTTAACTTGTGCAACATAAATTAATAATTTAGGCGATGTTTGACATTAATTTAATATATTGTAATATTTTATTATATACGTACTAGAAATGTCTTTTATGTGGTAAAAAGCAAAATAAAAGAAATGAAATATGTTACAAAAGCTCTTCCAAAGAAAGATTTGCTTATTTACCTCATTTTTAAACATTTTTTAGCCTGAGTTATTAACGTAAAATTGAAATCACTATGTTAGCCCTTAGTCAACTTTCAAACCCTAAAATACATTGGAATCAAAGATAACCCTGGAAAAAAATTGTTTTGTGTTGTTAAACATCACTAGAGAACTACATCTCGATGATTGTATGTCTTTGGCTTTCGATGGGTAGGATGGAAACGAACTGCAATTTGAAACAATGTAGCCTACGTACAGACGCCCTCTTCCCGTCAGAAAAAATCGGGGAGAGAGGGCCAACTTTTTCAAGTCAATTAGACGAGCTCCTGTGTTGTTGAAAAATGACAAAACCCGATCATGCTTTGTTTTCCTTTTGATTCAATCATTTGATACCTTTCTTTAGAGTTCTGTGTATGAAAAAGAGATAGTGGAACTCACCAAGACAGCCTGCAAGCAAGCCTTCCTCATCCCTCCCCATCCCCGTACCCCTGGAGGCTCAGGGAGAGCTTGCTCGTAGGCTAACCGTGACATAGCTCCTTGTACTGTTCGGGTCTATGCAAGGTCTACCTCTACCTCACAAGCTCATCAGGGACCTTACGATTAGACAAATGGCAACACCAGAATAAACTTCGCGCAATCTTGAAAACTTTTTTTGCCTGTATGCCAAACAAGTCACCCAGATACTTGAATGTGGGGAAGTTCGGGCTGGAACTGAAGAGGGGGACAGCGCCGTGTCTGAGTTTTAATTTCTTTGCTGTTCCCGTTCTCCCGTCGTAGTTGTGCCGGGAAGGGAAAGAAATTTGCACTGACCGGGCTTGATGTACGTGTAGAGTTCTTGTATTGCTCACTGAACGTCTTTCGTTCCAGTTGCCGTTGTAGCTTTGTAAGGTCCCTATGTTCGTTTACAACTTGCCACTCAAATACGCTGAACATTCGCAAGTCCATTTCACATGCAATCGCGACCTTAGTGTTGTGAACACATGACTGAACGTTTGTCTTTGTACGATAAAACGTAAGCTTGTACAACAGAAACAAAGAGAAACCGCGTTCACTACGACCGTTCGCATGGTTTGAGTGGAAGATAAATGCAGTTCGGAACAGGAGAATAGGGAGCTTTAGCAAAGACGACGGCAACGAGAACGACAAAAAGGCAATAGGGTTAAAAGTGATGATACACGAGATGATGTTGCACAAGGTGATGTTGCAACGACGATTTTTAGCGCAACACAGCCTTGCAACATTGTTGCGACATCGCTTCGAATGGATACAACATTGTTCCAGCATTGCAAGGCTGTGTTGCGCTAAAAATCGTCGTTGCGAATCGAATCGAATTTTTAATAAGTAATATCTTGGGAGTTCGCGCTACCTCTCCAGACCTAGTCACTGAGTTGCCAGCAAGGCCAATCGCAAATTTTTTTGGCCATGTCGTATCTCTTACACTGGAGTAATGCGTCCACAAAATCTCTCATACTAGGTTCTTTTTCACCTAGAGTTCCAAAATAGGAAATAAGAGAATACGTTGGGCTTTGCTGTGATCGATAGCATGTTTCAATCCCATTCAATACTCCAGTATCCACGTTTAACGCCAGTCCAATGCTGTACCACGTTTGAACTTGAATAGTCTCGGGAGAGTCCATTTTGTCTTTAACGTAGAATAACATCAATTGGTTATCATGATCTCTTAACTTTAACATAGCCGAGATACGGAGATCTGAAAGAAAAACACAGAAAATCCGAGCAGTTCAGCAGTGAAAAGTACCTTATTCTCACATAATTTCGCGATTTGGGAAAAATCGCGAATTTATAACTTGCGACTGAAACTGAAATCCCTAAAAATCGCTTAGTATATGGCTCATTCTTGGCGAAATTTAATACTCACGAAAAGGGTAGTGATGAATGTGAGAAAGACAAAACCTTGGTGTCATAAGAGCTATGAAATGGCGTGATTTCACCCTCGGGTAACTTGAGTTCAGGCTTTCCCCTTGTGGTATCAGGAATCTTGGGCTTTGAATCCGGAATACAGCTCTAGCAATAATACGGATACCACTAGCGATTGGTATCCGGATTATACAAGTTCCATTGACAAAGAATCCGGAATCCACGACCTGGTGCGGTATCCAGAAACCAACACTGTCTGGGATACCCTTACATAGGGTGAGGCTTTCGTTTCGCTTTCCTGATTTCAAGAGCGATTTTCCTGTGACCTTGAAAAATGGTTTCCCCACTTTCCGTATTAAAGTATTCGCTATTTGTTTTGTCAGCCGATGGATGAAAAGATCAAAACATGGCCTCTTCGTTTTCCAGCCAAAGAAAACCCTAATATGGAGATGGCATTGTTCGATTGGCCAATCGTGTTGCAGTTTGCCGTCAAAGCGAAAGTATCGATTGATTTCGCGCGTTTGTATCCGTTCGATAAACCAATCAAATCGCTCTATTTCCGTTCGTTTGTTTCTGTTTTGTGCGCGCGTTTTCATTTCAAAGTCATACGAGGGTGACTTTTTGCCATTTCCGGGGCAGGGACCGCAAGGTCCACAGACTCTATTACGGTGATTCTATCACTCGTTTTTTTAAAGAATTTTTTTCTTCCTTTTAGCCTTCCGTCTCCATGCAAACGGCGTTTTCGGGCACCAAAATCGCAGATTTTGAAAACGCTTGATTGGCGTTTCGTGTGGACGAACGAAAACAGAGGTTTCCGGGATACGATGATGTCCTACATCCATACCACGCTCGCTCTGTAAGGGACGCTATCCTGACGCTATCGTATTTGCATCGTTTTTGCTTTTTCTTGAAAATGGGCGAAAACAATTCGAGTACGCTACGTATGGATGCATCCTTTTTGGAAAACGGAGTAAAAATATCGAACAACAGAAAGAAGCAAGGCTGATTTGTCAGTTGGGAATATATATATTTTTTGCTAATACATGGCTTCAGAGACTTGCAAATGACTGGAAAAATATATGTTTTCACAAATATCCGGATACGTGTAAACGGGGCCTCAAAAGCATCCTGGTTGCATCACTGGCTTAGTAGTAAAGTGTCCACCACCGACATTTTTGGACGCAAAAACGCAAACAGTGAGGGCTTCTCAGTAGACCTAATCCAAGGCCCACAAGTCGACTTTTTTAAGCGACGAAAGCCGCGCAGGTAGTAACCTGCGAATATATATATTTTTTGCTAATACATGGCTTCAGAGACTTGCAAATGACTGGAAAAATATATGTTTTCACAAATATCCGGATACGTGTAAACGGGGCCTCAAAAACATCCTGGTTGCATCACTGGCTTAGTAGTAAAGTGTCCACAACCGACATTTTTGGACGCAAAAACGCAAACAGTGAGGGCTTCTCAGTAGACCTAATCCAAGGCCCACAAGTCGACTTTTTTAAGCGACGAAAGCCGCGCAGGTAGTAACCTGCGAATATATATATTTTTTGCTAATACATGGCTTCATGCAGAGACTTGCAAATGACTGGAAAAATATATGTTTTCACAAATATCCGGATACCTGTGAACGGGGCCTCAAAAACACCCTGGTTGCATCACTGGCTTAGTAGTTAAGTGTCCACCTCCGACATTTTTGGACGCAAAAACGCAAACGGTGAGGGCTTCTCAGTAGACCTAATCCAAGGCCCACAAGTCGACTTTTTTAAGCGACGAAAGCCGCGCAGGTAGTAAACTGCGATCAGGCGATTTTTTTAAAAATAATAATAATAATAATAATAATAATAATAATAATAACAACAATAATAATAATAATAATAATAATAATAATAATAATAACAACAATAATAATAATAATAATAATAATAATAATAACAACAATAATAATAATAATAATAATAATAATAATAATAATAATAATAATAAATCGCCTGATCGCAGGTTACGCAGGTAGGTGAGAAAGCGATGTCGGTTCCCCTTCATTCAGTCAAGGGTTGAAGTCACCTGGAGCAGCGGAGCTGCAAGGTTATCAGAAGAATTAACTTAACTGAGGCGCATTTAATACAGGGACTTCAGCATTTAAGTCCTCAGTACATTGTGCCGTGAGCAATAATGATTACCTCTAAGAAATCCAAAACTCTATAAAAAATTAAACAAAATGAAAATGAGTGAGCATACCCTGGGTTCCAGAGGATATTTTTTTCTTATGGACACTGATGGTTCGCGGCGAAGCCGCGTTAACGAGGCGCAAAGCGATAAGAAAAAAAATCCTCTGGAACCCAGGGTAGAGTGAGCACGTCGGATCTCAATAACTGCTAAATTTTGTTATACCTTCTGGTATTTGTTGAACATCTAGCTTGCCATTTTTGTGAGCACATTCTTCATTGGTTATATTACCCTGCAGGTTTTCTGCAAAGGAAGAAATATTGCAGTTAACGTAAGTGCACAAAACAATAATGGATACAAAAATGAAAAGAAAGTTTTATGTCTTAGTTTTGTGGTGGAAATAAAAAGGGAACCTGAAAGAAATCACCTCAGTTGTGTGACTGTAAAAACAGACCACAACGAGGTTTCTTCAGTTAAAATGGAATTACACTGAAATATGGAAGAGTTTCAATGAACACTTGCGTACAATAGCCGATTTACACGGCTCCCACTCCGTTTCGTTGCGGCGAGTCCCCTGGACTCCCCTCCCTTGTTCCTGACGCCACTTTTATCACGTGTTACATCACGTACTGTTTTGCGTTACATGGCGACTTGTAGGACGAACCAACATGCCTTTTTTAAAAATTATGGTAAATATGTGAGTATTGATATTGTTTTATGTAACCAGACATGACCTTAAAAAGAAACACGTTTATACATACTGTTTATCTACTGTATAGAGTGGGAGCACCTGGGGAGCACAGTACAGCCGTATTCGCAATTTGGGTTTCTTGAAATTGCACTAAATTTGTAGCTTGAATCACGGTCGGTTTTCTTGTTCAAATGACTCAAAATGTAAGAAAAGCGAGTTTTCGGCTTCCCATAGCTTGCTTTTGTTTCTGGCTCAGTAGGGTTGATTTTGTGATTTGTACGCTTTTCCATCAGTACCTAGGAATTTGCAGCTTTGTTTGCAGAGTCTTTGCATTTTGCAACTCTATAAAATTCTAGGCTGGGCACCATGCATTCAAACCATGATCCACAATTATTAAGCACAAACTCTTATTTATTTTAATTTTACCATGACTGAGTGATTTGTCGCCTTGCGTGCTGATTGGTCGAGAGCTATATGTTCGATAAGAGTACAAACCATGAAAATGGTAGACTACGAGTAGTCCCCCATTTTTCCTCAGGGATAGTAGAGCGAGCAAAACGCGAGCGCGCGTGAAAATCAACCCACGCGAGAAAAGGCGACACGCGGCGGGGAGAGAGAAAAATGAGGGACTACAGACAAAGCCCAAGCTTTTGAACTAATGCGTTGCTCTCACAACGCAAAACTCTGATTGGCTCTTCCATGGAAATCTGTCAACATCTGTCAAAAACGCGCCAGCCGCTATCAACACTCGACATAATCTCAATTTACAGAACAAATAACTAGAGCAGAAATAATAACAGCAAAGAACAAATAACTAGTCAGAGTTGCTCTTGTAGAAGCAACTAAGAGGAAAGCCAACCCAGCAACTGATGAGGTTCGCGTGGAGAACCGAAACCATGGTCTTGTCTGATCACAAAGTGGGAATTGAATAACAGAACAGTCACTTATTCAAAAGTTGTCACCAAGGGAGGAACTACGCACTCCAGTCCAAATACTCACATTATCTCCAGAAAAACAAGCGGCAGTTAAAATTCATGAGCAGTCATGACTGAGTCACATCGCAGTTCTCTATAGTTGATTTAGTTTTAGTTTAAGCTGCAATCCATTCTTCGAGATTTGGATATCGCTATCCGTCCTGCTAAAAACGCTAACGAGCTGGGCCCAGCGTGACAAAACATTGCAGGAAACCGACACATTCACGGCCAAAAAGATAATCGCTTAAAATTATTCAGATCCTGGAGGCAATCGCCGGAAAAATTAAACAACCCCAGACCCATTGCATTGAAGAGCTTTACTTTTCAAAAGAAGTGAAATAAAATGCTCTTGCATTAGTGGGCAAATCATGCCGACCATAAACAATAACCACAGAAAATTAATATACGTGTCACGACCTCTCATTATGAAATAAGCGGCAAAAATCACATTTGCTCAGTCAAAACGTTTTCCTCCAGAGCATAATCTATCCGTCAGAAAAAAAAATTCATTGGAACAAGCAGCATTTTTGCACGAGTAAAAGTCGTGTGTTGCCTACACTATCAAGTTCTTCACGCGAAACAACCGTCATGAAAATTAGTATCTGAGTTTTCTTTTGCTTGCAATAAGTATCCCCCGCAGTTTACCGATGACAAGAGCAATGACAGCCCAATGAGGGAAGGAATGCCATTGGATGCGCTTAATTGATTTGGAAGGGGATACGAACTTCACACTCCGAAATCAGTCGGCCGCGAAGGGTCAAAAGCTTGGGCTTTGTCTGTAGTCCCTCATTTTTCTCTCTCCCCGCCGCGTGTCGCCTTTTCTCTCGTGGGGTGATTTTCACGCGCGCTCGCGTTTCGCTCGCTCTACTATCCCTGAGGAAAAATGGGGGACTACTCGTAGTCTATGAAAATGGTGGTGACGCAATTTAATTGTCTTCATTTTTTTTCTTTCTCACACGCCCGATTTTCGAGGAAATTCAACAGAAATTGATGTTGAAACTACATTGTAGTAAATAACAAATCAACAACAATTTTCCATGCTCTGTACCCTTTGCCCATAGAAATGATGTCAAAAAATTATGTTCAAAACATTGCAGTGAAACCACTCGCCCCTGTGGTTTGTGGTTCCACTTGAGTTTTGAACATTTTGACGTCATTTTTAAGAGTACAGACCATGGAAAATTGTAGCTCTTTTGTTAATTCCAACACAGAATTAAGTTTGCCTTGCCTTAGCTACTCATGAAGCCAGTTATATAATAAAAAGCCTGTATACTCTAACAGGCAAATCCCAGGATTTAGCTGCCAGCTCATGGTGCAGTCTAAGTGTCTGGGACCAGGCACCCCAGTGAAGAAAAAAGCAAATATCAGGGTAAAGAGTGCAAAAAAATCAGTGAACAAAGTGAGGATTGAGATGAGGGGAAAGGGGGGCACTACTTCTCCTCCTCAGTTCCTTGGTCCATTTCCCTGTTTGAACCCATCCCTAACATTTGCCCTTTTTTCCACTATCAACGAGTGTAGTGCCTGTCTAGTGGTGAGCCAGACACATCACTTGAAAAGCTAGATACTGGACGACACTAGCAGTGTAGACTAATAATTGCAGTGGCAGATCCAGACCTTCAGATAAGAGGGAGTGGGGGGAGGGCTCAGTTTGGTCTAAAAATGAGGGGGTCCTCCCCTAGATCTGCCACTGGATTGTTACAGACACTAAGGATTAGCTGCTAGAGGGAAACATAAAAATGAACTTTAGTGTCAGATTGCTCAAGGTGAAATGGTGTTAATGAGAGGAAAGAAAGGATTTTTATTATATACATACTGAGAAATACTCACCAAAAAGCTATGTCGTAAATTTTCGGACGCAAATTAGTTCTAGCCAATCAGAGGGGCGAATGATGGTTTTCACAAGTGAAAAAAAATGATACGTCCAATCAGGATCGCGAACGATGTTTTTTCATGGGTGAGAAAAATGATAAGTCCAATCAGAAGCCACAGAGGTGTGTGAGTCTCGTGCCAAAATTCCCGCCTTTCATTGCAGCTTGCAGCACCGCTTTGCACACATTCAATGAGAAAAGTTTTACTCAAAGAGTTTTTCTCGCTAAAAAAGTGAAAAACATTTCGGAAATGGAGTGGAATAGTTTCGTTGGTTTCACTGTTGATGAATAAAAAGGTAGAGAGCCGGCGAAACAACAGCGGAAAGGGAAAAACAGAACGAGACGTAAGCTTTTGTTGTGCTTTTTGTCGGAGCTACTTTGCCTTTTTACTTAAATTCACTCATTTTCAATTGTGCATTGAGAGCAAACAGTTAAGATTACTTATAGTTGTTGAATATACCTCATATCCTTACTGTCATTTATGTTTTTAACAAACGTTTTTACTAAAAAGCTGATACTTCGTTTTCGTTGTCATTTTACGGTAAGTGTGTAGCGGCAAATTTTAGCATTTTTGAAATATTTAAAATAAAAAGGCCGCCAAAATGATGAATGTCTCAGTATGTATATAATAAACACAATACCACACGGAAAGTGCTTTGTATGGTACTTACGCACTCTTTGTTTTTGTATCAGAAATCTTACTCGTTCGCTGCGCTCACTCGTTTGATTTCTGATACGTCAACAACTCGTGTGTAAATGCCGTACACCAGCACTTTCCATGAAGTATTCTCTATTTACTGATTTTTAGTGAGCCCTCTTATGGGGGTACGGATGTCCCTAGTCTGAATTTCAAACACAACTGAAAGTTTTGCTTTTTGAGGAGTAGGCCTTGTAATTGTCCATATTTAACCCATCTTTATGTTGTTTTCACCATTTCATCAAGTCTTCTGTTGCTGTTTCAAGGCTGCATGTTCCTTGCAGGAATTTTAACCTAACAGGGTCTCATTAGTCAGTAAAACCTGGGACACCAGCCGACAATTTTCTGTAAAATATCTGTTCAGAAAAACAAAAAAATTGCCTAGAGTTTTCTATAGCGGGAGGAAGCCAAAAAATTTCTTGAAGACTACTCCATTCATTTACAATTTTCAAAGCTTATCTATTAATTCCGTACGATTTTCTAAAGTCTAATTTTGCACATTTCACTCTCTAGGTTAAGTTATTTTTCTTAGAAAAAGGAAACCTAAAATTTTCGGATTTGAAAATGCAATAGAGAGGGGATCAGAAAAACTCTTACGTTTGTAATACTTTAAATTCCGCCTAAAATTTTGGGAAAAACAATATTGGAGCCCTTACTTGTAATTTTGGAAAGACTCAAATTGTCCTAGCATGACTGAACAGATAAAAAATTTATAGCGCTGCTTAGAATACATTTCTAGCTATCTAAAAGTACTCTGGATAGCCTAAAATGTGTTTTCAATGTATTTACTAGGAGGATTACCATTGTTGGGTGCCCCTGTAAAACACTATACTTAAAGTGAAAACCGTAAAATACCATTCATGATTTGATGATTGTTCAGGGTTTAAAATGAATTAAACTTCTTATGCTCACCAGATGAAGAGGCATTGGAGTTTGTATTACTCTGATCTCCAAGCAGTGGTGTTCTTGTTTTGTCACAAGCTGTTTACCAGATAAAAGAAATATTTCATGCAACAAGAAAGCGGCGGGGAAAGAAAAAACAGAGAGACAGAGTATATTGAGAGACAGACAGAGAATATTGTATAACTTAAAGGAATTAAGAAAACATAACTAATCTGTTGTCATGTTCTGTGATACCGAGTGTAATAAAAATTTATCAAATATGTGTTAATTGGTGCAGTCACTATGTTTAATAAGTGAATCAATTGAATCCACATTAATTAAAAAGAAATTTTTATTTTTTTGTTTTCTTGCCTCTTTGAGACTCATCAATTAAAAATCAGCCTGGGTTGCATTATTTGGTTTTGCATTTTTAAATTATTTTAAAAATAAACAAGGTTGACTCAGTTTTTGCTGGCATATTAACTGTTGCAGCAAAAACGTTTTCCTGATACACTTGCTGAAACTGAAGGCTTTCATCCTATTGTTGTCCAGTTTTTAAACTGTTTTATTTGATTAGTAATTCAAAATTTTCCTCTGGCTTCTGATTATTCAAATTTTTGCCATTTAAGTGTATACTTTAACCCCACTCAACAAATATTCATTAATTACCAGTCTTATGCAGGTGTTATTTTTGTCCAGCAAGGAAAATTATGAAGGTAAAATGATACTTCCAGTATGTATTATCAATACCTTGACTATGATATTTCCTAGGTGATCTGCTCATGGGTGGAAGCTGTTCTTTCATTGGTAGTTTGGTACCTGTAAGAAATTGATTTGAAAGTTTAACAAACTGCATAGCATTTTTTAATAAGTGTTAATAATCACTGATTTGATATATTCCAGTAACTTTATTGATTGATCATCAATAGTTTTTTTATGCAAAGTTATTAGTGAAGTTTCTTAGTTTTTGCTTCTTTTTTAATTTTAATTTATGGAAACTGGGCTGTCAGCTGTTTTGATGTCTCTATTTACTTAAAACTACCTTTAGTTTAAATCCATAGTTAATACCTGATTTATCATGATGCTCAAAGTTCTGGATATTCGATTTGCCTCTGTATTTCTTTATCCCAAATGCAGCAAGAATGATGATGACAGTGAAGGCTGCTCCACATGTACATCCTACAATGATTTTTATTTCCTTGAAATCTTTAGATTCTTGATCTGTTGATTGATTGTCTTCCAGTGGTGTAGACCTCACCCTAGTGCTGGAATCTGCTGAGGTTGAATTGCTAGCGGTAATTCCAGACGTGCTGACTGTGGGTGAAGTAGTGCTGGGAGACTTTGTATCTGAAGACGCCATCATATCTGAAGGCTCATTGGTTGAATTTCTTGAAGCAGGGATTGCAGTAGCTGTTTTATTTTCAGGTACAACTTTACATTCATCAACAACAGGATCCATGATATACCCTGACCTACATGTAGGTGCACACCTACTGTTTTGCCAAGGGGTGCATTTCTGTAGCTCAATTTTAAATCCACACTGATTGCAAGGTTTACAGTGGGAAGTGTCATTTTTATCACTATATGTCTCACTGTACACACAAGGCTTGCATCCTGTAGATGTTCCGTATGGAACTCTGGATCCACATTGTTTTTCGAGCCCTTGTCCAGGTGGACATGTTTGACATCTTTTGCAAGTTTCTTGTGCATCTGGATTGTTTGGGTCATAGAGTGTGAACTCCTTTGTTGAACAACTTTCTGTTGTCTTTAATAGAGTTACCAAAATTGTCGTTAGCAGAAAAGCTTGCTGAAGTCCCCCCATCTGTAAAAAAAGAACATTACTTAACTTTCTTGAGTTCCTGGACAAGGCAATTAACTTTACTTTCCTCAAACTTCCGTCGAAGTTATGCTGTTGAGGGCTCTTACATGATTCATAATAAATGCAATGTGATAATAGCTGTATTAATTCTCTTTTATTTAACTAAATTAATCTTTGTCCATCCTGTGAGCAAGCTATCTCAGCGGATGGGGAGCCGAGCAAAATTGCTCTGCGGCATATTTTTGTCATATATATTATACGGTGTCTTGTTAATTACAGAATAATAGCATTTACCGAAAGTTAACATGCGAGATTCCACACGGCGTGAGGATCATTTTTTAACGAAAAGTACTCATGCACATGGGTAATGTTAGAGCCAAACACATGAGTCACACAAGCAAAACAAAAGTTTTGAAAATGCGGTGAAAGTTAAGAAGCCAAAAATTGGCAAGGTCTTTAATAATTCAGGATTAAACTTTCCGCATTTGAGCCGTGAATATGGTAGACCAAGGATCGACACACATAGTTCCCTTGTTTGCAACCATTTTACGAATTTTAAGATCTTGTGTATAGACTAAATGTACGGATTTATTAAATTCGTTTATATGCAGATGTTATTATTGTTTCTACATATATATGTACAAGCACCAAACAAACTTTGCGTAGATAACGCCATCTTTCGAAGTTTCTTACCTTGAAGACAAATGGCAGATGATGGCGGGGTGATTACCGGCCAAGCAGGAAAATTCTGTGAACGGAAAGGAACTCACTATAGTGTTTTAAAATAATTGCACCTCGACTTTCTTGAAGTTCTTGTAATACGATACGTTTGTGCCTTTCGGTCAAAAGAACATTAGCATATAATAGAGATCTCGTGAAATTTGTTTGCTCAGCAAAAATGATCGACCGCTATTATCTCCGTTTCCGTTTCAGTTGTTGAGAAATTACACAAGAACCGTTGGTGTGGGCGATTATCGAGTATCTTGGTGCACAAACGCTAATTAAATGAAGACCTCATACGTTTTTTAAGGTATGCCGTGCTTTCTCCCGCTATAAGTTTGAGACACAGCTAACTTTTCGAAAATTTTAACACTGATCTGTGTATAAAATTACGTCATACTTTAACATAATCACGTGATCGTTTTATTCCCTTTCTTTAAATTTGAGCACTGAAATTTTACTGATAGCTGTTCCCATCTCTAAATTTTTTTTTATTAGCTCTGGTCTCTAGAAAAGTCTTTCGATCTGTTTATGTTTTACATCATTTTGTTTCACTCATACTTTGGAATCCGATGATCTCTTATTTTGCGGTTATTATGACGTAAACAGTTTCCGTATATTGGCCGTGGCGCTCAGATGGTGACAATGCGTCGGAAATGACTTCACTGTTTCCTTTTCATTTGATTGTAAGGGACGGACCATTAGAAAACTTATGGGGGGGGGGCGAGGTACAAAAAAAATATTCGCGCAAGGGAAAATTAAATGAAAAAAATTCATGCACGCCAATTAACCCTGAAAAATATTCATGCAATGGCCTAAACAAAATTCATGCAAAGAATTTGATAACGAAAAAAAATTCTTGCAGCTCGAAAATTCCCCTCCCCCCCCATAACTTTTCTAATGGTCCGTACCTAAGCAGAACATTTTGAAGAATTATTTTTAAAACTTAATTTTATTCAGTTGGAAAATTTTCTCATAGCAACAAAAGTCGCTAAGGTGGTGATTCACAACACAAAATGGTGAAGTAGTCGAAAATTCAGGCAGTCCGTTAGCCTTCCACGCAGACGTTTATTCCAGGGTTTATTTCGTTACTGTGAAAAATTATTGAACTGACAAAGACTTAATAGTGAAGCAAAGCTGAAAAAGTTGTTCACGAGAAGCCTATGGCTTTCAGGACTTTGTAGGGTCCAGTAAATTAACAGTTAATATTGCTATTGATCTGATGCAACATCGAACAAAGCGAGTGCGTTAAGCTAACTTTGTAATATCAAGTACACGTCACCCATCGTTTTTAAATTCGACACAAAACTGCACGTTTGCTTATAACCTGCGTCTGTACCTCGCATTTGCACATTTGATTGACTTGACTTACCGTTGTGATTCAGCGGTCATTCAGTTCGGTCAAAACTGAGGAATCGATTCTTTGAAATGTTATTAAGAAAAGCTTAAAGCCGGCTTACACTCAGAGCGAATCTTCTTTCACCCTTTCAGAGATTGATAGTACAACGATTTGTACTCCTGATCGGGAATGACTTCTTGATAATTGTATCTCTATGACTTGGTCTTTGATTAACTCTTATACTGTACTCTCGTAGAGGTGTCTAACGAAAATAATCTGATGGACGATCGGAGCGCCTATTTTATTCCAGGGGTCTAAGGGGGGTGTTTAATGGGTAGCAGGCGGTTCAAGGAGAGAGGCGTTTATTGTCATAACTGTAGCAAGCTTATTTAAACTATTAGACGGCTTTCGGCCAAAATATCAAGAGGTCTCAAGAGAGTATATAAATAGCAGTGACTATCCAGATCCACATTGTTCTTTCAAATCTCAACTTCGATGTCAGAATCCTCCTTCAGGGTCATTGAACGGTCGCCGGAGCCTTTCTCTAGGTTTTAGGTTTTAGGTTTTAGGTTAATCGTTGTAATGTCACGCGCTGGATGACATGATACGTAGGCGATCTACTGTAGTTTGCAGTGCAAGCGCCTTCTTATGACAAGCAGAAAACTCTTCTCGATCTCCCTCTGACTTGTGAAATACTCTGAAGCCACACTGAAATCTCTGACAGAAACTTCTCTTTTTATTAGCTTTTGAAAATCACTTGTTGTTTCTACGTTTAGGACATCTATTGTTTCGTTTGGTGGTTAACGTAATACTGAGTGCTCGGCGCTCGCTCGCTCACG